CAGGCGGGTCTCGAACCCGCAGACTCAGGCAATCCACTCACCTCAGCCTCCCAAGGCACGGGATTACAGGCTGAGCCACTGAGCCCGGCTAGAAGTAGTATCTTTAATGGTGCAAATCAGCATGGCTCCTGGCCCTTGGTATGCATGGCTAATGCTTTTTTTCTTCAACTAATTTTTAAGAACCACAAGAAATATTTTGCTGTTATCTGGAGGGTCCAACGATACAACTTCAAAGCATCTGAGTTCATCAGTTCTCCTGACAATACAACTTCAGAGCATCTGGGCTCATCAGTTCTCCTGCTATCTGCCATAATATAGTCAGAGATCCTGATTATCTAAGCATTCCACGGATCACCACACTGGTTCACTACATTGACAATTTTATACTGATTTTTCTTGTTCTGTTGCATACCTTATGATTTTTGATTGAAAACTGGTCATTTTAGGTCCAGGGCAAGGGCCGTGCGATGCACTCTGCAGTGGTGGAACCTAGGAGAAGGTGAAAAAAAAATTGGTCATTTGAGAAAACTGCAATCTCTGCAGACTAGCTGTGTGCCCAAGCAGTCCTCTGCTTATTAGCTGGAAATGCTCTAAGCCTTGGGATCAGCCTAAAGTGAAAGCTTGATATTCTTGGGTTTGTTCTGAACATACATCTTACCCAGGCCTGTGTGTGGCTTTTTAAGTTCTCGCATATATCCAGCTGCTTGTTTGTTTTTTCTTTTTTGAGACAGAATCTCCCTATATTACCTAGGCTGGAGTGCAGTGGTGTGATCATAGTCCCTGTTAACTCAAACTCCTGGACTCAAATGATCACCACACCTCAGCCTCCCAAGTAGCTGGGACTGTAAGCATGCACCATGACACCCAGCTAAATATTTGTGTGGTGTGTGTGTGTGTGTGTGTGTGTATGTGTGTAGAGTCAAGGTCTTGCTATGTTGCCCAGGCTGGAATATGACTGCTTTTTTTTTTTTGAGTTGGAGTCTCACTCTGTCACCCAGGCTGGAGTGCAGTGGCCACTCCCGGCCACCGCAGACTCGACCCGCTGGGCTCCGGCGATCCTTCCACCTCAGCCTTCCAAGTAGCTGGAACTACAGGCGCGCGCTACCACACCTGGCTAATTTTTTGATTTATTGTAGAGATGAGGTCTCACCAAGTTGCCCAGGCGGGTCACGAAATGACCGCTTTTAATTGTGTTTATTTCTGGAAGAGTCTTACCCTACTTCTCTATTGCAGACATTCACTGGTAACCCCTTGCCCCTTACTTCCTCTATGTTCCTGGCTTCCTGTCACTTTTCCCAGGGGAGATTTGAACTATGTGGAACAGAGTCCTTTAGGCAACTCCAGATAGGTTAGAATGCTGCAGATAAGGCCTGCTCAGCTCCCTCTCAGTGAGGGAAGTGTGCTGCCACCACCTCTAGACTGTGGATACAGCTCCAGGAGGGCATAGAACCAGAGTCAAAAAAGGACAAAATTTTGTTCTATTTTGCATGCGACTTTTCCTTGATTGGGCATGCTCTTGGTTGTCATAGACCTTGGGCTGTTTTCCAGAGCTCCCATAAAGTCATTATAACTGATGTCTAGTTGTTACCTTTTTTTTTTTTTTCAATATTCATGTCAAAGAACCAAGGACTGGAGCTTCCAAGTCTACCATTTTGCTGACATCACTCCTCTGATTGGCTCTGAGGAACAGTAAATAAATGTCCTTTAGATGTTTTGGCAAAACACATGTGCAAAAAGAGAGTAAGAGATGAATCTCAGAAAGAATTCACCCCAGCTGGGTACGGTGGCTCACACCTATAATCCCAGCACTTTGGGAGGCAGAGGCGAGAGGATTGCCTGAGCTCAGAGATTCGAGACCAGCTTGAGCAACATAGTGAGACCTCATCTGTACAATAAATAAAAACAATTAGCCTGAACCCAGCAGATCAAGGCTGTGGTAGCCATGAGCATGCCACTGCACTCCAGCCTGGGCAACCGAATGAGACTGACTCAAAAAAAAAAAAAGAATTCCTCCTCCACCACCACCTCAGTGACATTTGTGGAGTACAACCAGGGGCACGTCTATAGTGAAAGGTAAGTTGCTGTTCCTCATGTCACCAGCCACAGAAAATGAAGCACACCACTTGGCATGTGTATATGGATTTTGGGGGCAACATATACCACAGTTCTGTGTGTTTGAATTATTTATGTAGTCACCTATAAAGTTGCAAGTAAAAGTTATCACCCCTAGCCAGGCAGGGTGACACATGCCTATAATCCCAGCACTTTGGGAGGCTGGAGCGAGAGGATTGCAGGTTCGAGACCAATCTGGGCAACATGGTGAGACCTCGTCTCCACAATAAATCAAAAACTTAGCTGGGCATGGTGGTATATGCATGTAATTCCAGCTACTTGGAAGGCTGAGGCAGAAGGATCGCCTGAGCCCAGCAGGTTGAGGCTGTGGTGGCTATGAGCAGTGTGCCACTACACTCCAGCCTAGGTAACTCTGGCTCAAAAAAAAAAAAAGAGTTATCACCCCTTGGGCCTTATGATCTGGCTGACTGAGTGATACTTGACATGTCCATGGTAAACAGGGACGCCATGCCGAGTCTTGAGCTAGTGCCAATAGGAAAATCTCAGTATAAACTTCCAGGAACTGGGGGCAAGTCTATGTCTGCAGATAATTATTCTGCTTTTGAAAAATAGCTTTGGACTTGCTACCAGGTCATGGGAGAGTGAATGTCTAACTATGGGCTATCAGGTGACCATGCATCCTGAGCATCCATCATGTAATTGGTGTTATGCCCACCTAGGCATAAGACTGGGCATGTGCAGCAGCAGTCTATCATCAAATGCACTCTCAATAATTAAGTGGGCAATATGTCACACATTGTGAATAATACTAGTTAATCTCTTTTCTTAGACATCCCAGTGCTTGTGTAATGGGCTCATGAACAAAGTGGGCATGGTGGAAGAGATGAAGGCTCTGCATAAGTTCAGCAACATGGTTTTTCCTTTTACTAAGACTGATGTGGCTAACATTAATGCCAAATGCCTAATTTGCAAATAGAAAAGACAAACATTGAGCCCCTGATATGGCATCATTCCTGGAGGACCAACCAGCCACTGGTAGCACATCAATTACATTGACCCTCTTTCCTCATGGATTGGGCAGAATTTCATCTTCACTGGAATAGACACATAATCAAGGATATTGATTGACTTTCTAATATTAAAGTTTTATATTCCTGGCATAATCCCCATTTGGTCATGATGTATTTTTATTTTTATAGGTAGTTGTATTTATTTGCTAAAACTTTATTTAGAATTTT